AATGAGTTGTGTGGGTGTTGTCTTCAGCACTCGGGCCTTGCTGTCAGTTTGTGGACAGCAACCTGTTCTCTTGTCAACAGTCTGGGATGTTTGGGGATTTCCATGGGACCCCTTTGGCTAACGACTCAGTTGGATAAAGCCCAATCCTGGCCCCAGAAACTTCATTTGGTAACAGGAGATGGGCCAAATGGTTTATATATTAAGAAGTAATTAATATTCTTTTTTAAAATTTTTATTTTTATTTTATTTTATTTTATTTTATGTATATGGGTGTTTTGTCTGCATGTGTGTCTTTACATGTATGTGCAATGTTCTTGGAGGCCAAAACAGAGCATTAGATGCCCTGGTCACAGAGTTACAGAAGGTTCTGAGCCACCAAACCAGGTCCTCTGGAAGAGCAGCCTGTGCTCTTAACCTCTGAGCCATTTCTCAGCTCATTAGTATTAATTTTTTATAACTCAGATCATTAAAAAGAGTATTTTCTGTTTCACTTTATAAGCCTAAAGTAAACTTGTTAACAAAACTTGACATTATACGAAAGGAAAAGTATGGGGTGGTGTTTCTCAAATATCTAAATGCAGAAATGTTTCATATATCAGCACATTGAATCCAACCTCATACACGAAGTGTTAACTCATTTCATCTAGACTGATTTGTTTTACAATTGAAAGAAATGGATGAAAATCTTTAAATTAACAGAGCAAAGAACAAAATGGTATCCCCACTAGAACGACAGAAAGCATGCAGAACAGAACCTTTCAGAAACCAGAGACAGACCTTTCTTATTGACCAAAGTTGTCCACCAGCATCCTTCATCAAGCATTTTATTGGGGCCTCCCAAGTTCAGATGGCAAATAAAAACATATGGTCATGTGCGTGGATACACATGGAAGCAAACTGGCATCCAATTGTAGATTTAACAGAATTATGTTAAGTGTATACTAAAAGGGATCAATTTAAACTATTAGAATTAAAAAGTAAATTCCATCAATATTTTTAGATAGAAAAAATAACAAATGAAAAAGGCATTGTGTTTCTAGTTTCTAGCTGGAAATGCAAAGTTAATAAAAAAAAATTTACAACTGTATAAACCTGACGCTCAATTAGCACTGCACCTGTATCTAGTACTTTTCTCATTGTTGTAATGAAGGATTTAAGAGCTTGTGGGGCTCATGGTTTGAAGGTAAAATCCGTCATGAAAGGAAGGCCCAGCAGGCCATGCCATGTCCATGTCATGCCATGAGAAGCAGAGAGATAAACGCTGGTGCTCAGCTCACTTTCTCCTTCATATCCAGTCTAGAACCATCAGCAGTCAGGAAGCGGAGAACAATGGACGCTGGTGCTCAGCTCACTTTTCCCTTTCTATTCAGTATGAGACCCCAGCCCAGGGGATGGTGTTGCCCACATTCAAGGTAGGTATTCCCTCCTCTCTTAAACCCTTCTGGAAATCTATCTATCTATCTATCTATCTATCTATCTATCTATCTATCTATCTATCTATCTATCTATCTATCTTGTGCTGTCATTACTTGTTTCTTGGCTCTTTTGGGGGGGCCCACAACCCAGCTCCCAAATAAATTACACACAGACAGTTACTCTTAATTACAAAAGTCCGGCCTTAGCTTGGCTTGTTGCTAGCCAGCTTTACTTAAATTATCCCATCTAGCTTTTACCTTTGGGCTTTTACCTTTCTCTATTTCTGTATGCCTTTCATTATTTCTTACTCCATGTCTGGCTGTGTAGCTGGGTGGCTGGCCCCTGATGTCCTCCTTTTCCTTCTCTTGCTCTTCTTCTCTTTCTCTCAGATTTCTCCCTCTATTTCTTCTCTCTGCCTGCCAGCCCCGCCTATCCTTTCTCCTGCCTTGCCATTGGCCATTCAGCTCTTTATTAAACCATCAGGTGTTTTAGACAGGCACAGTAACACAGCTTCATAGAGTTAAACAAATGTAACATAAACAAAAGTAACACACCTCAAAATAATATTCCCCAACAACTACTCATGCTCTTTTCTCTGCTTTCCATGTTCTTTTGTCTCCCTTGCTCTGTCTGATCACTCATCCATTGGGTCTTGTTGCTTTCTCTGAAAAGCTGTCCCGAGCTGAGCCCCAAGTCTGAGTTTAACACTCCTGTCCACAACCATAGTGCCCTGTGATCACTACTAAATACCTGTCAGCATCCAGGGATGCAACTGCCTCTGTATGTGTCTAATTTACACTGAGGGTTCCAGAGGGGACCCAGAGGTAACCAGGGTTGTGTCTCCAGCCAGTGGAGATGGCTACAGCACAGACTTAACCTCAGCAGAAAAGCCACACCTGTCACCTGACACCAGGGAACTGGAGGCACCTTGGAGCAGCATCTAACAATATAATAGAGACAATGTTCTTGAGAAACACTGAACACTCCTTCCACACACTGAGATCTGAGTTAAACCTCACCACTGGATGTTGTTGAGGCCTTGAAGAGGTCTGCTAACTAAATCTGATTTGTAAACCCCAAAGTACAGGAAGAAGTTGAGACAGAAAGTGCTGTTGCAGGCCTTTTCTTCAGGCCGATGTCTTTTCTTTGGGCCACCATCTTACAAAAAAAATGATACAGAGACTTATTATTAATTATGAAAGCTTGGCCTATAGCTTAAGCTTGGCCTAGTAGCTCTTATAACTCAAATTAACCCATTTCTATTCATCTACATGTTGCCATGTGACTCGTGGCTTTTAACTCTCCTCCTGTATGTCTTGCTCCCTCTGGGTTCAGCTGGCAACTCTCCCTTTTTCCCCAGACATCTCTCTGTCCAGGAGTCCCACATATACCTCCTCCTGCCTTGCTATTGGCCATTCAGCTCTTTATTAAACCAATGAGAAGGTGCCTTGACAAAGACACATCTTCACAGTGTACAAAAAGATTATGCCACCACCAAGTGTAAATGAGAGTGAGCCTGTACTGGCACTCCTAATTGTAACCATGGTCTTGCCCCTGCCGTGTGGCTTACAGACATCTGCTTAGAAGAACCACAGTTCCTGGTCTCATTGATGCCAGCTTGGCCCGTGGTTTGCTTCGGCCAACAGACCGGGAGCTGTAAAGGCATTCTTCTCATAGGTTGTTTTTCATTATCTTCCACAACAAGAGCAGCATAAGCCAAAGTGTGGGAGGGAGCCCTACCTCCTAACTTCTGGGCCCACAACCGTCAGACCCTTAGGCTAAGCTGTGGAGGCGAGCACCAGCAAAGGGACTTGGCTAACTCCAGAATGCCTGCTTGTGGCAGGGTCAGTGGATCCTGTCACCATGGGGTTGCAAGCTCAGTCGCACCAGAGGAGCCTAGCCATGCATGGTGACATGTTTGTACTCCAAAAACTCAGGAGACTGAGGTAGGATTTAAGGGAGCTGAAGGGACCACGTAAGCTAAACATTGAGACACCATCTCCAAAACTGAAAGCAGGAACAGACAAGGACCCTGGCTGTAGTACACTAGTACAGCATCTCCTAAGCAGGCTTGAGATTGAGTTCATCCCAGCACCAAGCAAGAACACTGAAGAAGATAAAGATATGTTATGCCGGCAGAGAAGTGCATGCCTCTAATCCCAGTAGTTGAGAAATAGGGGAGCCAGGAAGGCCAGGAGTTCCAGGGCAGCTGCCTAATGGGTTTGAGCCTGTCAAAACTACAAAGAAGCAAAGAATAATCTCGTTTTTCCATTTAATATCCTGGTTTTAAATTGAGCTATACTTCTGCATCAGTCAGGGTTCTCTAGAATCACAGAACTTGGAGAATGGTCTTCTGTATATTCTGAAGACGCAGGCTCCAATGTCAGCGAGGGAATGAGTGTGCTGGCAAGGTGAGGGCGAGCAGGTGAAGAGAGCCAACCTTCCTTCTTCCACTGTCCTTACACAGGCTGCCCGCAGAAGGGGTGTGTCTCCCCACCTAAGGTCTGGATTAGAGGTGTGTGTCATCCAACCTCAAGATCCTGATGGAAGGCATCTTGTCTTCCTGCCTCAAGATCCGATCACAAGTGTGCCCTCCATTTCTGCATTGCTGTTCATTCCAGATGTGGACAAGTTGACAGGCAAGTATAGCCATCATAACCTCTGAACAACGACAAATAACCTTTGATGAAATCCACACAGCTGCAGGTGGCGACAAATAAGGACCACGCTGCAGTCTCTTGTCCATTCCTGGCTTTCTCGAGTCTAAAGAGTATTATCTGCCCCAGCTCTCTAACAGGGTCATTTTGAGCATCATATATGCATGACTTTGTGTTTCCTTATGTTTAAAAAAGCATGCAAAGGAAGAAAACAAATCCAGGAGGTAGAGCATTCTGACTAGCAGCCTGGCATGCTGAAGGAACAGTCACAAGGAGGCCATTATCACCAACCACCATCTCAACTTTCCTGTACCGTTTTCCTTGGCCCTCCATGTAAAACAAACAAACAAACAAAAATGTTCTCCCTGGCAGATGTGACCAGCATGGAACTGCCCTCAGAAATCATCCCAAGCAGGTGTAGTTGGGAGATATTAGCAAGCAGAAAAGAATGGCTAAAACGAGTAAGATAGGTGTTGGTCTGCGTCCACTGATCCAAGCTACTTTCCTCCTTTCCAACATAACTTCATGTTTATCCATGTCATCGCAGGGACTCTCCCAACAGCACTGAGAGGAAAGGAGCCAAGCATGCACAGAACCAACAAACCTATGGGATTGCTAGTAGACTGAATGCTCAAACACCTTTGGTTTAACTCTTAGGCTCAAAATTCTCAAAATACAGTTGTGTTTACCTGACACATTCGAGTGATGGAAGTCAGAGGCAGGCTCTGATGATACTCCTGAACAACGATGGCTGGGAAGGACAGGTGTAAGGTAATGTTTTTTCCAGTTGCGTTTTTCACATTTCTTTTCTATTACGCAAATCAGCCGCTAGAGGTCCCCATGTGGCTCCATTTCCACACTCCCTTCTGTGACTCTGAGGCTGACGTCCAATTCCCATCCTGAGAAGTCACCAGGTTTTGCATTTTTTCCATCCGGGTAGGACAGGGCAACGAGTTCGCCTGAAGGAACCGCATTTCTGTGTTAGCTCAAGATCAGTTCCTGCTCCGGAGCCGAGGAAGAGCTGACTAGTCTTCCAAAGACCTTCAAAGCAGCCCTTGCTCTCCTGTGTCCTGAGCAGGGGAGGGTGGCTGCCTGGGATTTGTATGGGCTGTGTTCCTGCTTCCTGTTAGCCTGGATCTCCTTAGCGTTTCACACCCTTCCTTATAACCTGCTTTACTGCGGGGCTTGGCGTTTGCCTGTTTTTGCTTTCTACCGTTTACTTTTGTTATTTGGGTGCATTTTAAAGGAAACTGCTTCTACAGCCACGTCGACACTGGAGTTCAATTTGAATTCTAGTTTCCTGAAATTTTTTTCCTGTCTCATGTCTTTTTCATGACTGTTTGAATTGTCACAAATTTGAAAGCTTTTTAATTCTCAAGAGCACCAATTCATACATAAGAAGTCATTTTCTTAATGAACCATACGGACTTCCACAGTAGAAACATTCGCATTCTACAGCAGTCTGGCACCGGCCCTGATCTCGCAGCTTATCTTTTTGTCCAGCTGAGCGGTTCCTGCGGCTACCTCGCCATGCCCACTTCATTTTCATAAAGTAAACTTAACACAGCCGGCAATTCTTTGAAATGAAGATTTTAATTACACACATCCTCTCAGTTAGGCGGCCCTCTGGTTATCTTTATTAACAGACACTAAATAACTTTGCATCGTTTAAATGCTCTCCAGTGTGTATCAACTGATAGAGGCCCGGGGAAGGTGGACCTGAGAGATACCGGCAAGTAGGCAGGGCCAGGGAATAACGTTTAGCCTTCCTGGCTGAGCTAAATGACACTCCCAATATGCAGACTGTAACTGGTGAGGCATCAACATCAGGTGAGTGAGTATTTTCAGTTTGATGATGTTTCATTTACTAAACCATGAATTGCGCCAATTTTGGTTTTCTTACCTAACTGAGCAAATGAATTGAGTAGTTTGTTAATAGTCTCATGGGTGGGTTTTACTAGGATTCAGCTGGCAATGAGAGCCAAGGACAAGGGTGCCCACCATTTGGGGCACAGTCTGAATCACAGTCTCCCAGTATAAGAAATTTGCTTCGATTCTAAACCTAGACAGAATTAAAAGGATTGTATCAAGTACAAGTAATATTTTTATATAAATAAGCATGTTACTTTGTTTGGGCTATGAAGAGACTTATTCCCAAGCCAAAGTTAGTAGTGAAGGTTAAGGTAGATTTGTGGCCTTTCTTTTTCAAAAGTAGTATATCCAGTTTCTCCTGCTGAAAAGAGACAAGCTGTGAGTGAGCATGAACTCTGAAACAGTGAAGGGTTTCTCTTTTGTGGAACTGTTACTACAAAACTAAAAACTAAACAAACAAACAGAAAACCTTTTTAATTGGGTTAGGTGTTCTATGAATCTAAACTAGTGTGTTCATTAAAATAAAGTCCATGTATTATTAAATTCCTTTAAAGTAACTTTATTTTTTTGGCCTCCTTCTGGGGATATTTTAAGCAATGTTATCTTGAGCACAGTGATTCTGTGTTAGAAATGCAAGGGCCCAGAAGGCAGAGGAGGAGCAGGCAGCTGTGTGAAGAGGAGTTTGCCCATGGGCATAGCTGTGATCTGGGTCTGAGTGAGCAGTAAGGTGCAGAGCTTTCTGTGGGATGCAGGGGTGGGATCCAGACTCCCCTGCAGATGGAATGAAGCAGGAGTTAAGAACATGGTGCAAGGGACAGCAAAACTGGGATCAAATCTAAAAGTCTGGAAAACACTGAGGCAAATCATAGTCCCTCGCTTGGCTTCATCTGGAAAATGTGGGCAATGTCGGTACCTGTCTCATAGTAACACCAGAAGAGCTAAGAGAAGTGCTAATACAATGTACTCATTCCAGCACCCAAAAGAAGGCAAAAATCTGTTTATTGTATATTAAGAATCACCATCATAGTAAGTGTCGATAAGTACCACTAAATAGGTGCTAGCAATGATGATCATGACAGACTGGAGAACAAAGCTGAATATATGGCTGAGTAGTACTCCATAGCATCTGTTTATCACATGCTGATGGCCTTAGGCTGCTTCCACATCCTAGTGCACACGAAAAGAGCTGCAGTAAGCATGGCATGTGGGTATCTCTGATGAGCTTATTCCATGTCCTTTCAATACACACCACTAATAGAACAGCTATGTAATATGTTTGGGGGAACTCCATACTGTGTTCACAGTGACTGCAGCAATCCATGTCCCTACCAACTCCTTATAAGAGTTACATTTACTCCAAGTCCTCAACACTTGTTTTGGGTATTTGGGGGGGGGGTGTTTGTTTGTTTGTTTCTTTTTTAAAGAATACCTATTCCAACTAGCGTGGGGGCACATACCTTTAATCCCAGCACTCAGGGTAGATCTCTGTGAGCTCAAGCCAGTCTGGTCTACACAGCACATTGTAAGCCAGTCAGGGTTTAACAGTGTGACCCTGTGTCAATGCAAGAAGCTGGCAAGACCGCTCCATGATCCAGAACCCTTGTAGCTCTTGCAGAGGACCTGAGTTCTGTTCCCAGCACCCACTCAGCAGCTCACAGCTGTCTGTAGCTCCCCTCCTAGGGAATCTGGCCTCATCTGGCCTTCACCAACACTGTGCACACACAAGGTGCGTGTGCATACATGCCGGAAAAACACTCACACCTATGACATAAAAATCAGTAAATCTGTTTTCAGTAGCTGTTCCTGCTGGAGTGAGGTGGCAATTCCCTGGTGAGGTCTAGGGCTCCTCCACACACCTGTGGCCTCCTCAGTTTTTTTCAGGAAGAATCTGTTCAGATTATTTCCCTATTTTTGAGGACTTCTCCATGTTTTTAAATATTGGAGTTCTTGGTGTGTTCTGCATAGTAACCTTCTACTGGATGAATAGTTGACAAATTCTGTGCCGTTCTGTAAGCTGTAGGAAACACATTTTAAATGACTTGTCCACCTTTTCCTTTCAGGCCATTCTCTTACAACTGCCCTCTTTATATCTTCAACTGCAGGTTACCAAGAAGAACATTTGACATCATTGCCAGACTTAGGTAGAACCCATGTTTTTACATACACATTTCCATGGTTAAGAACACTTGTTGCTCTTGTGGAGGACCTGGGTTCAATTCCCAGCACCCACATGGCAGCTCACAATTGTCTATAACTCTAGTTCTACAGGATCCTGATGCCACTTCTGGCTTCCACAGGCACCAGGTACATAAAGGTGCAAAACACACATGCAAGAAAATCCTCACACCCATTAAATAAAATGATAAATCTTTTTTTAATAACCGTTCAAGCTGGGGTAAGATGTTAGCCCCTGTGGGCTGTGGGAGGCTCATTTGAACTAACTTTCCTGTCTGTATGCAGACTCTCTTCATGTGTCAACTGCTCCCCTGATACCTTCAACTGAACACTACCAAAGAGAGCATCTAGTGTCGTTGCCAGCAACGGGTAGGCTCTGGGTTTTTATATAATGGGTTTCTAGCCGTTGGAATCTTATCTGAGTCTTCAGTAAGGTGTATCTGCAACATCTTCTGGTGTCAACAAACTGACACTAAAACATTGACCAGAAACATCCCACAGTTGCCTCTGGGGGTAGGCTCACAAATTTCTTTCTCTTGGCTTTTTCCTAAGCAGAAATGTTTCTGCAAAGAGAATCAATCATCTCATGCACTGAAGAAATATTTAAAGGGTTTAGAAAAGCAAAATGAACGAACACAATCCCTGCTTCTTAGAACGCCTTTGTCAGCAAACAGCGCTTTCCGGTCAGTGGAGGAAGACACACATCGCTGTTCACTGCTTTGTGGTTAATAAAATTTGTGGAAAGGTTCATGGTGAAACTGATTCTCAAAGGATACAGTAGAGGAAAGAGCAAGAAGTCACAGTGAATGCATGACACAAACCATTGGCAACAGTTTCTCATCTTAGTCTTTCCATTGTGAAATGGGAATTCATTCCCAAGTCCCAAACTGTCACACCTTCTATAGCTAAGAGTATCAGAAAAGCAGCTGTAATAGAACCTCAGACCACACAACTGCTTGAAGACTTCTACCATATCCTTAGAATGAGGTAGTGTTCCGGCCAATGCCTAATTCAGAGCTGTGAATGGTCCTGAAGCATTGCCCATTTTCCTTCAGTTTTCTTGCCCCATGCTGACCTCAGACGTAGGTCTGGCGAGGGAGTTCTAACCCTCATGTTCTCTATAGACCTTTCCTGAGATCTTTACATCAGGCTTGAGTTCAGCAACTAGCTGAGCTTCCTCTAAGGTGGTATAGAACAAAGACACTGTTCAATCTAAGCAATGAACTTGACAGAATACAGAAAAGCAAACCACTCAATGCAGGGAAGAAGAATCTGGTGCTTGGAAGTGTGTGTAAATGTAAGTAAAAGAGGTTCTGCTTAGCTGTGTTTCCTCCAGTCCAGGTTAAAAGTGAGATCTATTTTGAGTAACATTTAGCCTTTGTCCTACCGCCCCAACAAGGACCTCAGTTTGTCAATATTTCCAAGCAGTTTCCATGCAGGTAGTATTCACACATGCTCAGTGCTGTTAGGAACCACTTGGAATTTCGTATCCAAGATTACAAAAATATACAGTCAGACACAGAGAAAGTAAGGCCTCTACTTCAAGAAACCATCTCAAAAAAAAGGTTGGCTTCTATTGCTTCTGGTTAATGGGGTTATGATGTATATTCAAACATTGTGTGTATTTGTTTCCATTATTCTACAAGTTCTTTGCAAAAAGTATTTTATTTGCTGATGAAAGAAACAGGAATTCAAAATGTTTTGAAAATTTACCTCTAGCCAGTGAATGGAGAATTTAGTGTGTAAATCTAGACACTATGTGGTTATACTGTAGTATCCTCATACTAAACCAATGTCCCATGCCCCCAAGAAATAAAGTCATCTCATTTTTTTTTATCAACATCAAATATGCTTGAGATAATGTTCACCATTTTTGCTGTCTTAAGTGTTCGGTTTGCCCAGAATGATGTATATTCATCACCACTCTCTGCTTTCAGAATATCTTCATTATTCCAAAAAGCAATCTTAGGTCCATTACCAGTCACTCCCTCCTCCCGTGCCCACAGTACCACAGCAACTACTAATTCTCTTTCTACTGCTATGGATTTATTTATTTTGCATATTTCAAATAAATAGATTCATACAACCGGTGGCATTTGTGAGGCTTGTTTCTCTTAGGATAACATGTTTATCTGTGCATATTGGGGCATGAAGTATTCATTTCTTTTTATGGCTGGAAGTTATCCCATTGAATGAATGAATTAGTCATTCACTGACTGACAGAAAATTAATAGCAATGTGTGTATTTGAGCTCTTGTGAATTGGGCTGTTATGACTATTCATATGCTACTTTGGGGGAGGACACCCATGTAAATATTCACAGAGGTCAAATTATGGAGTCATAGATACTGCACTCTGTTTGCTGAGTTGGCCCCAGACTTTCCTCACAGGACCTACACTATTTACTTTTCTCCCACCAGAGTGTAAAGATTCTAGTTTCTCCAGATCTTTGCTCACACTTGTAATTTCCACCTTTTGAATTGCTGATGGTCCTTGACTTATCCTGGGGTAATGTCCCCAAATTATAGTGAAAAAAATGAACCTGATACACCTAATCTTCTAAATCTCACAGCTTAGACCAGCCTCCCTTAAGTGTGTTTAGAATGCTTGTGTTAGCCTACAGTTGAGCAAAATCATCTAACAAAAGCCTACTTAATGTACAATGTTGAAGGTCTAGGATAGTATTGAAGACCTCTAAAAGGGAAAGATGCTTCGATGTACTTGACTTTTTTTGGTAATCAACATGGAAAGTCTTAAGCCAACCCACCCTACTTTGGCAAAATTCCATGTAGCCATGCTAGCAGGTATGGCATGGAGTTCCATGGTGTTTCTGGTCTGCATTTCCATAGTGACTAATGATGCCCAGTAACTTTTACCATAACTGTTGGCATTTTCATTTCATATATTCTTTGGGGGGAAATGTCTATTGAAATGTTTAAAATGTCTAAATTTTTTGTTGTATAGTTGTAAGAACTCTTTGTATATTCTAGATGTCATCTTATCAGATACATGACTTGAAACTATTTTCTTCCATACTGGAATCATCTTCTTACCTTTTAATGTATTTTTATGGACTCTATTTCCTATTTTGTTGCTTTTGTTTATGGTGTCATATCTGAAGAACCATTTTTCCAAACTCAAGGTTATAAACTATACCTCTATATTTTCTTCCAAGAGTAGTTTCACAGTTTTAACTTTTATACATCAGTGTATGTGTGTATATATATTCTATATGATAGTTTAATGTATATACATATGATGTATATATATCTTCAATAAATTTTGAGTTAATATTCTTATGTGACATGAAGAAAAAGTTCTTTACCTTTTTGCATGTAAATATAGCAGTTATTGAAAATATTGCTTTTTTCCATTGAATGGCCTCCACACTCCTTTGAAAATTAATCATAGATATAAATTAACTTCTGGATTCTCAATCCTATCCCACTGATCTTTATGTTCATCACTAGAGCAACACAGCTTTCCAAACACTGGAATTTTTGTTTGTTTGTTTGTTTGTTTTCTGTTTTTTTCATCATGAATTTTGAACTCAGGAAGTTTGAATCTTCAGACTGTGTCCTTGGACACTGCTTTGGCTATTTGGATCTATTCATTCCATGTGTATTTTAGGATCAGCCTTTCCATTCTGTTAAAACACTGTACACACACATTCATTTAATGTGGTCAGTGATGATGTGATATATACACTAGTCATAATCTCATTTTATACTAACAAAGGTTGCAAATAACTGGCCAAAGTGTTCCTAGTCCTCAGTTGAATTCATTTGCCTTCAGGTAACTCAACTCCAGTCTACATGCTGAGTGGACGACTGTTGTCCACTCTCTTTGTGGCTCTCTTTGTCACACAGAATGATATTCCAGGCTTGGCTCTTCCTCTTACAATTGTGTTTTCTTTTTTTTTTTTTTTTATAAGGAGAAGGCTTCAGTGAAGGTTCACAGTCTGTCTTCTCCTGTAAGGACAGCAATTAACCTGCCTCCAAACCCATGAGACAGTCATAATTTCTTACTCTTTTGTAACATGGATATTTTTTAATCTAAGAGTAACTCTTTGATGTGGCCAGTCACATCATGATTATATTCAATACTTAAAATGGAAGAAATTAAATAAAAATACAAAACAAAATGAATACAGCTATTTATTTGAGGTCACCAGGACAATGGATTGTAACACTAAAATCTATAGCTTACTAGAAAAAAATACCGTAGAAGTTCACCTTCCCTCCTGAACTATTTTTTGAGTGCAGATCTCAAAATCCTACTGTCATGCATTGGAACAATGTACCTACAAAATGAGTGGGACCTTGCATGGGAATGTTAGCAGACATGATTGCAAAGTATATGTTCATTTATTTATGAGTAATCAGAAGTAAATTAGAAGTATAATTAATCATTTGTTATTGCAAGTATTTTGGATTTTTTTTTTGGTCTGTCACAATTGAAGAACCCTGTTAAAATTTAGTATCATATTTATGTCGATTTCTCCTTTGGTTCACAGTCCTTGTCCCTGTGTTTAGGAGCTACAATGTCCCGTATTTACCTAAGTGTCATTCTGTAATGTATCTTTTATGAAAATAACCCTCCTCATCCCTTTTTAAGTACAGGTGCTTGCTTAACCTCCTGAGTTTGATGCTCAGAATCCACATAGTAGAAGATAACCAACTCCCACAAGCTGTCTTTTGCCTTCCACACACACACTGTGGTACACTGATGCCCACACATGCATGCACACATATAAATAAGTAGATGAACAATCAAATAATGTAAAATATGTAAGAAGTATGACATATATACACATTTATTTGTTCTTATCCTCTCTTATATATGGGAAGCCATACAGCCTATTTGCTCATTTTTCCATTGGTTACCTATATGTCTTAATGGATCCTATATGAGATGGATAAAGTTGTACTGAGCCAAATGGCCAATGTTTTATAGGGAACATGAATAAACCTCAGGTGTCTCATGGGCTATTGATGCCCTCAGTTTGGTGGCAGTAAAGTATTCAGAGGAGACAATGAGGCAGACCCACCCGAAATGTAACAGGAACATCATGGGTCACTAGTGCAGGCATACACTATCTTCTGCATGATGGGATCGTCTCGGGCGGCGGGGGGGGGGTCTAAGAACCCTGATAATTGGGTTCTATAGCCAAAGAGGCCAATTAGACAAATATGGGTCCCAGAAAACTATACATAGCCTGTGGATTTTGTACAATCTACAGCTTATGGCCTTTCTATTTGTAAGTGCTTAGGAAAACAAAAGAATAGCGTTTGAGGACACATGAATGTCATATGACTTGAGCTTCTTCTGCCCATCAGCCCTGACAGCACAGCCATGTCCTCAGTGTGCTTTGTTTCTACACTGTCTCTGCCTGCTTTTGCACAAGAACAATTTAAACCGACAGATCTTCGCTGAAGGCAATGTTAAGGAGTGATAAAGACTCTCTGTAAGGAGGGGTGGCTTGTATACAAGAGGACTGCTTATCCAGAAAGGTCTTGGCCACAAGGAGGGGTTCCCTCATGTGCCTCTCCAGGCATGGCCTCTTTATCTACCTCCTCCTGGATGCTATTGACAGTGGTTGTCACCTATCAGAACCTTAGTGTGGGGTAACGTCCACATTCACCAGCAGCTGTGTTGTGTGGGACCTGCCTGTCCCTGGAGCCTTTCCCTCCATTGCCAACCCACCTCTCCATTCCTTTCCTCTCATGATCTATGAGGCACCTGTAGTTCCCTCAACTTGTAATGGTGTCTCAAATTCTAGACCGTCTGTGACATTGGTTCTGTACCTTTGCCCATGCAGTCTAAGTCTGGTGAAATCCAAAATTAAAAATGACTTTCTGAGAGATGTAACCAGAGGTATGGTCATTTCAGAGCTGAGGAAACCAAGCCACACTCATCCTGTCTCTGTGTCTGTGTTGTAAGGATGTTCTGGAGCTGCCACCAAGGGGCACGGGGTGAAATTGTCTTCTACTGAGTTCTTCATGGTGCACCCAGTCACTGCATGTTCTTTCTCTTTCCCAACTTCTGTCTTACACAGGTACTTCTGTCAAACCATTTGACATGTCCCCCAGTGACCCATCTGTCACTCCTGAGATCCCTGTCCTCACAGCACAGAATGGCACAGGTTTGTTCTGTTTTCACCTACTCTACATTGTGATGCGGATTTCCTCAGTGGGATTCCACTGGTGACCATAGGGAAACTGACCAATGCTGAGAAATGCCAGCTAGGCTGCTCAGGGCCTTTCAGAGGCTTTGGAATAGCACAGAGGAATAACACTGTGAATCAAAGAAACTGAAACCAGGAAAGCACCCAAATGATAAATATGACCCAGAAATTGGGTGGGGGGACAAATAAAGGAACCAAGAGCGAAGGCCTCAGAGAGTCTGGAGCAAACCAAGCTAGCTCACCTGGGCTGGCCCCGTTTCCCTACAGACCTTGAATGAATTGTCTTGAGGGACCTCCATGCCATTAATCTTAACAGGAAGCCAGTCATACTTGCCCTACGGTGTTTCTCCACAGATTAAATAGGAGGTCAGTCAGGATGCAGGTCCGGAGCCAGGTGGATCCCCAAGCCTGCAAGCTGATAACCATAAGCTCAGCTGGGTGTGGGGATGAGTGTGAGCCTGTGGTGCGCTTGCTTATGTGATCTCTCTCTCCCCCCCCCCTCTCTCTCTCTCTCTGTCTCTCTCTGTGTGTGTGTGTGTGTGTCTGTCTGTCTGTCTGTCTGTCTAGTTTTCTAAAAGGAAGAAAGTAGATAGGATGTGTGTTTGTGCGTGTGTGTGTGTGTGTATGTGTGTGTGTGTGTGTATGTGTGTCTGCCTGTCTGTCTAGTTTTCTGAAAGGAAGAAGGTAGATGGTCTGTGTGTGTCTATCTGTCTATCTGTCTATGTCTAGTTTTCTAGAAAGAAGAACATAAATGGTGTGTGTGTGTGTGTGTGTGGGTGTGTGTGTGTGTGTAGTTTTCTAAAAGGAAGAAGGTAGATAGGATGTGTGTGTGTGTGCGTGCACACACGTGCACATGTGTGTGTGTGTGTCTGTCTGTCTGTCTGTCTGTCTAGTTTTATAGAAGGAAGAAGGCAGATGGTCTTCTGTGGACTTAGAGATGGGCGTAGAGAAGGCACTCCACATTTAAAATAGAGCCTCAGAAAGACTCAGATGGCTTCAGGATCATAAGTGAGTTGGAATTCTTGAGAAGTATCTACTAAAATAAATGGAAGCAATAGGTTTCAGAAACCAAGGGAGAAAAATTAGGCCAAGTGCTTAGAACTGCTTTTTGGGCTCATGGATCCAATTAACAATCTTACTAGAGAGTAACTTCAGCATGAAGCCAACAAGAAGACGTCAACTGGAAAACACGTAGAGCCCCTGGAAGACACACAGTGCTACACGACATGCATTCTATAAAGGACAGCTTGGTGGGACAGGGAACTGTTTATTTTCATGCATCAGTTAACAGTCTAACAACAACCCAGAGACATAAAAATTATAGTTCTCATTTTCTCTGAAAAAATTGTAAAGCACAGAGAAAATAAGTAACTTGCTTAAGTAACAGACATCCTGTGGTTGAACCCAAAGCCTATATGCTTAGCCCCAAAAAGAGAGACAAAAAGCTTTGATGAATCTTTATTTTTTGGATATATTTTGCCACTCTCTAGAACTCTCAGTCCTAGAGAGCAGCAAAATATATCCAAATTCTTGGCCATATGAAACCATGTCATATGAGACAATTATTTGTAATAAAAACAGGAGACTTCGGCTGTGATAGTGTGAGGGCTTCATTGGTGAAAGGCCAGGAGAGAAAAAACTCTGTGATGTGGACTGGTGGGGGAAGACGGATTCTATTAGGGCTTTGAGGAAACTTCCAGAAACCTTAACAGATGGGAAATCTGTTGGAACCACTGCCAAATGTTCAAATGAGACACAGTAAGCGTTCAGATTCAGACACTGGCCAAGCCATAAATCCAGAAGATCGATAGCCATGTGAGCCTCTTTAGGCTGGAACAGAGAATAGAGTGTGTGGAGTGTTGGCTGAGAGTCTCTACTGTCTCACTTTTTCACGATTCCACACCCTTATGAAGTCATCAGGTGTCCCTTTAAATATTTCCTCACACCCTTCCCCTCAGTTAATGAGCTGGTTGGCAAGTTTCTCACCCGAGAATATGTGTTGGGTAGTAAAAATCCACATTGAAATGACTAGAGGTAAGAATGACATGTTTCCTTACAATGTATTAGTTACTTTTCTGCTGCTAAAACAAAGCACCATGACCAAAAGCAACTCATGGAAAAAAGAGTTATTTTGGCTTATGATTCCAGGGGTGAGTCCATGTGGTGGAAGGCATGGAGAAATCACACCTGCAACTGCAAATTCAAAGCAGAGAAATCCATTAGGAAGTGAGGCAAGGCTGTAACTTCCACAGTCTGTCACCAGCGCCATATTTCCTCCATCTAGGCTGCACCACCCCATAACTACAGCAGAGTTCCATCAACTAAAAGTCAAATGTTCAAACACTCACTTGAACCAACACAAATACTTTAGTGTTGAAAAGTGACCAAAAAACGGTTAAGAATAAGAAATCCTTTTAGCACTGGACAACCAGTTGGTACGTTCTTCCCTCGGGAAGGACAGTCCTCCCATTCCCAGCATTCCTCAGTCACCTATAGTTCTCTGAAAACATATACAAGTAGAATTATAAAGGCTGAACAGGTTATATTTAGGAATTTATATGTATATACATATACATATGTGCATGCAATAACAATTTTTTATAAAAGAGGCCATAAATTTGAAGGGCAGTGGGGAAGGGTCCATGGGAGATTTTGGAGAGAGAAAAGGGAAAGGAGAAATATAATAAATTATAATCTCAAAAAGAAAAAAGGAAATCTGTAGGCAGAGCTTTTCTGTATCTTGGCAGCCACTCCCAAATAACCACACAGAGACTAATAAATTGTAAGTGCTCAACCGATAGCTTAGGCTGGCCACTAACTAGCTCTTACAATGGAAATTAACCCACTTCTACTCATCTATGTGCTGCCCAAGGCTCCTTTACCTCATCTATGAACTTCCACGTTGTTTCTTCTGTGCCTGGCTCACGACTCCTCTCACTCCACCCTTCTTCCTCCCACCATTCTCTCTACCCCGAAAACCCTGCCTAGCTATTGGCCAATCAGGTTTTTGTTAGCAATGAAAGCAACACATTTTCACAGTGTACAGAAGAATTATTCCACAGCAGAAATCCTCTTGTTTTAAAACATTTTTTTGTAAAGACATATGCTACTTATTATTCTGACTAACTTTGAAAACGTTATTTTTCAGGACTGGAAAGATATAACCATCCTTTTTCCGAGCCAGGTATGTTGGTGTGCATTAATGAAATGACAACCATTCCATTTTTAAATTGTAGTGTTTTTGTTTCATATGCCGAAGAAGTGACAGGGTCTATGCCATTGTGAATATATGCCATTAACGTCAGTGACCAAAACAAACAGTCCTGATTTTGAAGGAAGAACTTTTTTCTTTTAAATTTTGGAAGTAGCAATACATGATCTGGTCTTTTGTTTCTGTCAGCAAGTGTGCAGGAAGTGGACCATAACAAGAAAATGCTTAGAACCCAAGTGACCTGGAGAATAGTTCTAATTCTGCTCTCCTGTGGTCTGACTGGGTACCTCAGCCTCATTCAACTGGATTTACTCATTTGTAAGCTGTTTATGCTACTTCCCTTCCAAACCTGTGATTCTGTGATCCATTCCATACCCTTGGATACATGAAAACATTGTTTTCTCTCATAATGTTCAAACCATCAGAGAGTTTGTGGCTTTTTCCAATCAATGCCAAATGCATAAAGTTCCAGGTGCCCACAAGGTTACTATCAAAATCCAAAGTTTTTAAAGATTAAATGTGGATGAAACTATGAAGTATTGATGCATTTTCTGTGAGCAGGCAAGGTTATAATACCGTTTGGTTTTCCAAATGACACAGTGGATTCTTCACTTTCTTCCTTTTTATCTCCCGTAGTGACAATAGCCATTGTTTTGGGGGTGATCGCTGGCATCGTTGGAACTATCCTTCTCTTTTATTACTTAATCAGCCTAGTAACCAAGGTAAGAGTTCACTGTCCATCGTGTTTTAAGTACCAGTGTGAACAACTTTGGGCAACATAGTCTTCTGAGTACAACTGGAACACAAAGAGAAGCAAAATTTTGTAAAGCTCCATCCTTTTTAACTGGACACCTAAAACACGGAATCCTCAACTGAACCGTTTTTTGCATTTGCCAAATTTAAGGTGACTTCTGCATATAAATCTTTTGAGCTAGTCAAATTTCTACTTGTATTTAATTTGTGAATAAAATATTTAAGACAATATATCATACTTAGATACATTTAAAACTTCTACTTATTTCCTTTCTTAAGATTGATATTGTAAGTGTGTGTGTGTGTGTGTGTGTGTGTGTGTGTGTGTGTGTGTGTGTGTGTGTTTACATGAGTTTGGGTGTACCATGTCGATGCAATTGCCTCCAGCATCCAGAAATGATCAGATCTCCTGGAACTGGTTGTAACCAGCCCTGTGGGTACTGGCACCAAACCTGGGTCTTCTGTAAGATCAGTCACTGCTCCTCCTAACCACTGAGCAGTCTCTCCAGACCCACTTCTACTTATTTCTATTCTAGCTGTTCTGAAATAAATTATTCAAAATTCACCCATTAGTTTTCACCATATGAATTTTTAATCATTAAAGCTATTTTTAAAGACATATATAAGACTATACTTTCAGGAATTATTTCTATAATTTGTTAAATACATAGTCAACAGCTTTCTAGAGTATATAGGTTTCTACCTAAGATATTTGAGACACAAACCTTGTACATTTGTGATACTGTCCCTGGATCTATAGTGCTATGTCCTATATCCCAAGCACCAAGTCATATAAAATTGACAGCTTTTGAGATCCTGTTACAACAATTAAAATTGAGATCCTGTTACAACAAAACAAAACAGAATTTATAAAATTGACAGCTGGGCATTTAGCATCTTCTATTTTTAATCTTTCCCTGATTGCTCCACAATAACAATGATCTGCCTGTATCATATTGATAAAGTTAAAGTGGAGACCACACTATGGTAGCAGGGCCATCACACTAAAAATGACATGAAATCTACACCATCTCTTTGCTTGGATCTTCAGCCACTTTTATAGGCAATTCCCACAATCAGTCACTAATTCTATTATTCTATCACTAATTCTCATTATTCAGTGTAAATATGTCTTCCTAGTCAACACTTTGTCAGTCAAGGTTACACAGTTCATTATTTATTAGTAATTTGGCTGTATATTAATTTATGGGTGCTTGCTTGTTATCTGAGATACGCCGGATATGAGATGACTCCTTCATCTCAAGTCTATATATTGTAGAAAAGTCATCTTCTCAGAAAATATGTGAAAATGAAATTGCCTCTTAGCTAATGTTCAAACCCTGAAATGTTCAGTTGGCAAAATTCATAGAATATTCTCTCTTTATACACAGAAGAATTTGGATCTGGACAACATGACTCTGGAAATGTACTTTCTTCATTTTTATTCTTATTTCCACATTTGCTATTTGTAGAGAATATGGAAAAGTCACTCTATAGGATAGTATGACCCTTGTTGAATTGAAATACTATTTAGAAATTTGGATATAGATTTAAATCAGTGAGCTGGGCATGGTGGCCCACACCTTTAATCCCAACACTTGGGAGGCAGAGGCAGGTGGATCTCTGTAAGTTTGAGACCAGCTTGGTCTACAGAGGGAATTCTAGTAGGACAGTCAGAGTTACACATAGTGAGATCCTGTTACAACAAAACAAAACAGAATTTAAATCAATGTTCTTATGTATCTATGAGATAGAGACTTTTCCCAATAGAATAAGACTATATAACTTTCGACCAAAAGTAAAGGAGTTTAGAAAAAATGATTTTGTTTGAGGGACTTTTATTTGATTTAGACAATGGTGGTGATAGTTTTTTGGGTTTTGTTCCTAGAAAAGTTCAGTTGACATACACCCTCCCAAGAGTGAAGACACAGATGTGCATCTAAGTTCTATTGAACAGGTTAGTGGTATTGTCTCTATGTATTGTAGAAAAGTCATTTTCTGAAAATGAAATTCTCTCTTAGGTAATGTTCAAACCCTGAAATGTTCATTTGGTATTTGGAGAAAGGAATGGATTAGTGAATTCCATCTTTCTGAATCATGGGGAAGCAAACTAACTGGATTCACCAATGCTATTTTTTTTTTAATGTGAGATTTGCTCATAGCTTAAAGAGAGTCTCTCCTAGGTGGAGGGTTTTTCTTTTCTTTTTTTTAAAGTAAAACAAATTCTGTAAGTGAAAGAAAAAAAATAAACACTCTTTTAGTGTACTCCTTAGTTCCCAACCAGCAAAGCAATACGTGTGGGAGACCCAACCATGGTTAGGATGTGATGCTCTAACTATAGAGGCAGCCAGCTCCCAAACCACACCACACCCCTTGGCTTACAACCTTGAGGAGTTGCCCTTTTCTTCTGCCAGCACACAGAGTGGCAATTGTGGATTGGAGGGTAGCCTGGGCTATGGAGCAAGAGTCTACCTGGGATGCACCTGCCTGTGAGCTCACATCAGCACTTTAGACTCCTATCACTCCCTGGGGCCCAGCCTCCAGCAGCAGCTCAGGGCTCAAAGGGAATCCATGGAGTTGGCACTTACTATGACTTTTTTATATGACGGGGTTAGAGAAAAAGACACTCACACATTCTCTTGATGGTTTCCTTCAGACCTTTTGTTTATTTTTCTTTCATATTCTCAATTCTTTATTTTCCTGGTGATTTCCTTCTCTCATCCTTGATGTTTTCCTTCTAACTCTATCTTTATTCTTGATGTTTTTCTTCTAATTCTATCTAACTCTGGATTTTTTCCTTCTAACTCTTTCTAACTCTGGATGTTTTCCTTCTAACTCTGGATGTTTTCCTTCTAATTCTTTCTAAATCTATCTTTATTCTTTCCCTTACAGCTTATATACCCCAGCAAAATCTTTCAGGCAATATAAAAATTACTATATGGTTACATTCTATTTTCCAAGTGAATGGTTATAATGAATACAGGTAAAAACATGTTTTTCATCTCCCTTACATGATTAAAATAAAGTCATCCCAAGAACCCACATACATTTACGTCAAAGAAACTTATTGTAGATTAACAGAGTGTAAGCAAGCAGGGCATTTTTTTCTACCCATTTTTTTTCCTGGCAGGCTGCATATTGTGGTTACAAAAAAAAAAAGAATCAATTACTTTATTACTTATTTTGAAAGGTAATCTAATAAGGAATCTTAAAGGAATCACAAACCTAAATTTTTATACATGAAAAACAATCAGTAAGCTCTCCTTTAAGTCCTTAGGGTGCATACCCACTCATCAACAGTTCTTTATATCAGGAGATTGAGGGCAGAAATGGGTATAAAGAAATAATCATCACCTTTGGTCATCAACCAATCCAACCAAGAAAGGCACATCAGCTAATGATAACTGGGCTTCTTTGTTCTTGTTTCCTGACTTTAAAGAGTTCCACATTCAACTATTTGCCTTTCTGAAACTTTAGATTGTCTTCTTGGGTTTTTCACCTCAAAGCTATTTAACAAAAACATCTTAGTCTAACTTTAAGTTATTTTCAAAGCTTTGTTTCAGCTATGATGCACTCCAAAACCTGTGAACATATCTCCCAACATTAAGGTTTAAAGAATTTAAGCTGTCTGGGCCACTGGGACTCAGTTGTTTTTCTTAATCATTAACCTAAGCCACAGTCTATATGACTCCTCAATAGAAACTTACGTGTTACAGCTGTATGACACTTTGTTTTTGTATTTTTAATCATCAAAACTCTATTTAAACTAACAATATTATTATCAATTAGATAGTACAGCTTAGGAAGAAATCATCTTCATAATAATCCACAGGTAAAAAAAAATGCCCAGTCTACTGGGATGTTTCCATGAGATAAACACACTACATCACAGGCAGTGGGGATCTCCCCACACCCATTCACAACATGTCAGATACCAGAGAAAGATGGCAGCAGCAAACATGTAAAGGCCCAGCAGAAGCAAAAGACATTCTGGAGTCTGTGGTCTCGGGGCCTTTCCTATCTGAGATTCACCCTCAGGGATTTTCCTCCTGGTGGGCTGATGCCTGAATTTCAATTGCCATCTGATGCTCCTCTGACATGGCCACCCCACCGGCAGACTCCATTCCTAAATGGCCTCCTTGTACCCCTGCAGCAAGTCTGGGCCCCTGCATTTATTTTCATACTCGGGTTCTAAGTTGGTACACACATGCAAGATTTCAGGGATGTTTTGTTCATCCCAAAGAATATTGCCCCAGAGTCATTGTTTGTTTAAAGAAAATGTATTACCAACCTTAAAGGTGGGAAATAAGCCAAGTACAGTGTCACACGCCTTTAATCCCTCACTCTTGGAGGCAGACTCAAGTGAATCTTTGTTCATTTCCAGGCCAGCCTAGTCTACATAGTGAATTCCAGGACAGCCAGGTCTATGCAGAGAGACCTTGTCTCAAAGACAAAAACAATAGTGGGAAATATTTACATCTTAAAAACAAAGTGCAAGGATTCCTCTGTAAGAAAAATGTAAACTTTAACAATCCCTGGGGCAGGGAAAAGGGGGAGAGGTGGGAGGTAGGAGAGGAGGAGGGCCAAGGGGGCCTTCATACCAGTAAGAAAACAATTCAGAGTATCTGAGTGAGTGCTGAATGGTCCCGCTACAGTTTGTCTGTGCGCACAGTCTTGGTATCACTCCACTCATACAGTTCTCAGGAAATTGTGCCTGAAGCATCAACCTAAGAAGTATGCATTGGGGGAGACATCAGTCGAGAACAGTGAGTTAGAATGCTCAAAATCAACTGAAGCTTTTCCCATAATTATTAACACTCATAACACGTGAACCAAATTTTAGGCTCACTGTTTTCCCATATCAGTGTAGATTAAATTTTTCAGGGTATAGTTGTGAGTGAAATGAGTTAAGAGTTCAAACATCCCACAAGAGATGTGAGAAAACACGAAAATCATTAAAAATTCTTTAGTCCTTACTTTACGGAATACTGTCCCAAATTGATGCTGAAGCTGAAGGTTTAAAAGGCCAGGATGCTCTGTGGTCTCTGTAGAAACCAGGAATCTTCAGGGATGAGCAAGGCAGACAGTGCTTACCTCCCTTGTACTTGGTCATGACATGGGCTTGGTGGGAAATTAGAGTACGTGAATTTTAGTCAACTGCCCATGGTGGCTTCCTCACATGACCCTACCAGCCTCATGTACCCTACCAGGCTCTGTTTCACTGGGCATATTTGAGATACCATCCTGTGTATCAAACACAAGAAGATTGGGAAATGCTGTCGGGACAAATGCCCTCAGGTCCCTTTTGTTATATTCTTGAGACACGACATGACCTAAGTGCAACCTTCCAGTCAAGAAGGTAGGGCTGTGGGGTACACTGAGGGAGCTGGCTGAGTGCTGTTCCTCTAAGCAGTCAGAGGAGTGCAGCAGCAAGCTTCTGTGCAGGTTCTTCATAAAGGACATTATTCCTAAGAAAGGCCTTGCAGACCGGGAGCCTGCCTACAATTTGACCATGTGTTTGTAAATCAACTCACTTCGCTACTGTTGTGGCTCTAGGCCCCGCCGCTCCCCACTTTCTGTGGTTTCTCATCTCTGCAGAAGGGAGGAGCAGAACTGTGTTTGTTTCTCACCTGGGATTTCTAAAACAGGTCTTCAAAAGGAAAAACTTTGTGCCTTTCTAAAACAAACAAACAAACCCTCCAATAGAGCTAAACAAAGGCTATTTTATAACAATTACCTTCAAAGACTGCTCCAAGAATGTAGCATCCTGGCGTTTATTGGATGCAATGATCTCATGTTGTTTCAAATCTAACGGTGTCCTGTATGACTGTTTTGTACCCGCCCCATCCTTCTACAGAGCGTTGTTCAAGAAGAGCCTGCTGATGTTTGAAAAACCTCAAAGAAAACACAAGATTTCAGTCAATGGAAAAAGTAATACAAGAATCAGACATCTCAGTAAATTATGTACCATCCTGAGCTGTACTGTTATAAGAGAAAATGTCACCATTTTGAAGCTTCACGATGGGGGGCGGCGGGGGAGGGACACCTCTTTTCATTAGTAACTGAAGATGACATGACAAACAAGTTTCCTTTACACTTGATTTCGTGTTGGTAAAAATTTTTGTAACTACTTCACTAGAAATTTTGCTCCAAAATTTCAATTGAGTTTATATGCTGTCCATTAAGACTGACTTATTTGACTGTGTTATATTTTGTTCATAATGTTATCATTGAAAGGCTTATAGTATCTCTGTGAAATCCAAGTTCCTTTATCATTCTAACTGCTGAATTCAGCTTCATTGTTTTAAATAAACTAAAAGGCCAGCAAGTCCTACCCCTGTCCTTCCTTGACAGACAGGCAACACACAGTTCCATGTTAGTGGTGTGGGTGCTTTTCCCACACTAATAAAGCTCATATTCAGAAATGCCAGAAACATAAATGTATGCAAGGACACACATCTATTATTTGATATGTAAGTCAACACAAAAGTAGTGGATATTTTGAACAGTGAGTTGCTTTTGAATGATTCAAAGTAATTTGTCTGACAGTGTTGGATTGACTCCTTCAGAGTTCAGACTAATGTTGCAAAAAGATGTTTAAAGACCAGAGTACCCTAAGGATGAAAATAATCACAGACCCATCCTTGCAATAGAAATCAGAAAGTAACTACAGCAATGTGTATAAATATGAGGTGCAGGTGAAAACTTTAATGGGTAATCTGAGTTCCCAACAAACTTCTTGAATTCATCCAGTGAAAGTTTCCCTTATTAATAGAACTTCAGGAAATGAATTATCAAAAAGAACTTTCTAGATAGAAGTGACTAAGGAACTTTGTGACTAGACTTGACACTGTACTCCTTTATAGCAAAACTTAAAATAATCAATGTTTTTATTAAAGAGGACTTGAATTTGGGAGGGGTGGGGAGGTAGAGGTGGATCTGGGAGTGCCGGAGGGGGTAAGAGATGAATATGTTCAAAATACATTATATGAAATTCTCAAAGAATTAATAAAAATACCTTTTAAAAATCAAAATAAAGCAAGACCTGTGACTATCTATTTCCAAGTTGACAAGATTCCATATGGCTTTACCTTGTTTTCTGATAACTCAGTAAACAGCTACAATACATATTTAGTCTTAGAAATTTAAATCTACTTTTAATAATTTTTTAAAGAATCTACTTGCCTGTTCAGAGGATGTTGTATGCTTGTCACCTTTTTAAAATAAAGAATGGAAATAAGAGAATATTTGTTGATATATATTTTAAGTAGATTTAAGAATATTATTCAGTTATTATAGTTCAATTATGACCCAAGTGCCAAGGTAATTTTGAATGTACTTATTTCAAACAATATAAAATGGTAGACTAAGAGAGGACCTGAGTCTAACCTTATGTCTAAAGCAACTTACTGGTCAAAGACAGTAAGAGATTAGAGTAATGTTCTGTCTCAACAGAGCTCTGGAATGCAGAGGATAATTAAAGTATAGATTACTTTAATCTCCTGGAACTGTTCTGGGCAGTTTCCTTGTGCGTCTCAGTTGACTTTCAAATTGAAATTTAGTGTTTGCATGAAGAAATGACCTTTAGCCCCTTTGTATTTTTTTTATAATTAAATTGGCTAAAAACAAAAACAAAACACCCAAACACCCGAAAGCAGAAAGAACATCAGGACCCCATGCATGACTGCAATTGAATTTCTTAACACTGGGGATTGAGATGAGCAAGGGTGGTGAAGCTAGTTAGAAAACTTATTATTAGATGCTGGGTGTTTCCTTATAGAGATGTAAACAGAGGGTCCACGTGGGAGAAAGAAGCATTCAGTGTGAATAAGGAATTCAAAGAACCGGGGAAGAGTGTACAAGCCTAGTGTTGCTGTGGTGTTAACATACAGTGATGCACCCATGTCCTGTATCTTAAGCATTTAGTCCACCAAATAGCTATTTTCACAAAAGAAACTCCTGAAATCCAGATGCTGCTCAAATAAAAAGATAGGAAAAATTCCACCCACAGCATGAGTGTGCCTGCGACAAGTCATGTCCCCAGCTCTGCGCCCCTGGAAAGGCATGCCCTGGTGGCTGCAAACTCACTTTCAGCTTCTGTTAGAATGACAGCAGAGAGTAGAATATTCAGAGAAGGGCTTTATCTCCAAATGCACCAATCACCCCAAGGGTATAACAGATCATTCTGGAGTGTTCCTGGGTCAGAAGTCTCCGAAGGATCCAGGAGACCCACAGTCCCCTAAAGGAAAGGTAAACCCAGCAACCCCAGTGTTCCCATGCTCTGCCCTCTTATACACGGACACACTCTGTCTTGCTCATAGAAGACATAAAGTGGAGGCGTAACAGGCCCTGGTCACATGCTGCATCTCTTCCCTTGATTGACAGGAAGATGAAGACCTCTGCTCAGCCTCAGCCTTTGCATAAATGTGTATTATAACTCCCAAGATGACTTCTTTGGATATGTAAAAATCTAGGGCGTTTTGGAAACCTTGGGACATGATGACATCATGATACAAACTACAAGTTTTACAAATAAGAAAGGGTGTTAATAAACCTACAACAGCATGTGAAAGATGACAAGTTCTATGTAAAGAGCTCAATGTTGGGGGGGGTGCTGTTTGCAGAGCTAAATGCTAATCTTGGGGTATAGGATTATAGTCATCTTGGTCTTTTCCTTTCTTTTTGTTTGAGATTCTTAATAGTCTATAATATGCCCAGTTATATTTTCAAAAAGTTGAAACCATTAACATTTTCAAAGTTAAAGACAAACCTGAACACGACAGTTGCTAAGACACATTTCCCCTATAGATAGCCTACATGGGATTTACCTATGAGTGGCCAGAAGAGTCATCCAAAGTTCTGAGTTCTTACCGGTTCCATGTCCAATGTGTTCCAGTGACTATGAGAGCAGCTTGCAACTTAGGGACAAGAATTCCAGCCCTGCAGGGGTCAGCTAAAGAACACTTCAGTATAGATGGGCTTGAGATTCAAACTTGAGAAGATTAAGTAGTATCCTGTGATTTGAATACAGCCTTGAACTTCTTCTTTCCAGGGTTATGAACAGAGTTTAATCTGGGTTTGCATCACCAGTGGGTAAACATTATTCAAAGAAGGTTATTAATTAGGGTTTCTTTCTTGGTGTAAGTCTCTTAGAAGTGGTTTTGTCAAATGCTAGCAATGTATCACTCACTAAACCACATTTTTTCAGCCTCAGTTTAAGACAACTCATGGATTGTCCTTGACCCTTCTCTTGGCTTCTTCCCCTAGAAAGTGGTGTTGTTTGTAACAGGATGCTCTGAAGACATTATTTATTCAATTGAATAGAACTGTGATTGAATAATGGCTTCAAATATTGCCAATTAGTGTAAAAATCATTTGCCTTCTCAGTTGAAAGATAACGTCTTTCTATCAAAAGTATTCAGTTTAATATGTCTTAATGTAAGTAAATTAGATTATTTCTGGTATTACTAATATATAGAAGTGCTAAATATTTTAATTTCTTCACATCAAAGTGTCTCTACTATTAGACATTGGGACATATTAATTTTCCATTTTTATATGTGAAAAATCTGAGACACAAAGAACCAAAGTAATTTTCCAAATAGGTCAGTATGCTATTTCAGCATTCCAAGAGAGACTGACCCAATCAATGGTCTAAGCAGATGACTGCAGCCCTATACTGTCTCCAAGATAAACTCATAATGAAGTGTATCCCAAAAGTGGTTCTTACACATGCCTACATTGCTCCTGCTCCATCGTGGAGGTAGTATTTGGCCATGTGATGGAGGTTGTACTATTGGTACACAGTGGGGAGCGGTCAGAGGACAGGAGACACCCTATCTTCCCCACAGCCACACACACACCACAAAGAAACATTTAGCCCAAAATGTCACTATTGCTAGGTTGAAAATTCCTTAGCTAGAAAACCAAAATGTATGCAAATAGCCATAAATATTCTGAAATGAAAAACAGTACATGGAGCTTTTCTGTCCAGGAATTATATAGTACAGTAGAACTATGATTGTTGAGAAAGCGGAAGTAACGAGTCAGTTCTCAGCCTGGAGAATTTTTAGGCCCCACTGAGATCCTCAAGATAGTCAGGGCTGAGTCAGGGAACATGAAGGTGGCTAATATGCATAACCAAGACCCAAGATGAGAAACAGGCAATAAACACAGAGATCTAAGAATGCTCTGGTCAGTGTTTGTAGGAAAGAAAACTACTACGTAAGTGTTTGAGATCTTTTTTTATCCAAAGGACCACTGGAAAAACCTCATCTTTCTCTGAGTCTAAATGATATGGTTGGGGGGTGGGAGTGGCATGGACCATTCAGTAACAAAATGCTATGGCCTCTCAACTAGCTGTGTGACTCACTGGATTCTCGTGCATCTTTAGAGGCCACAGACATGCATATCTACTCAGGGAACGGGAAGTGGAACTTGGGCTCTTGCGAGATGCCTTTCATTTAATGAGCTGGCTCTTTCTTGCTAGAAGTAATTGTGGAAATCATCGGGTACTTCCAGTCATAAGGAAAATAGTAACAACAGAGCAAAGAGGTTTTCTTCCTGGAATTGAAGGTTTAAACAAGAGCAGGCAGCGGAACAGAGAGGACATGGAAAATGGAGTTACTGTTCTCAGTGACTACATTGACTGTGTCCTGAGCCTATTGGCTCAATGCAATAGGACATCTGTGTAGACTTTTTCCCAGCTAATTTTTCTCAGAAATGCAAGAAAATATGGGCTGGGGAATGGGGGGAATTGAGTAATTTTAAATGATACGATACCGATGCATTTAATATTTAATCATCTCTTTATTGTCATTAGCAACAGATGTGAGAGTCCTAAAAGATATCAGCATATGAATGAGCCACAACGCAGAACTTACTTAAGTGAAAGTAACTCTTGTTCCAGGCTGTTGTTGGGGGTGGGGGAATGGAAAGGAGAGGAGGGGAAGGGAGGGGAGGGGAAGCTGCCAGCATTCCTGAGTCCTGCTGCTGACATTACTGTTGCTTGTTTTGGGGTTGTTTTTTTTTTTAGGGGGGGAGCACCACCCAGCTCCCAAGTAAATCATACATAAAGGCTTATTTTTAATTATAAATGCCTGGCCTTAGCCTGGCTTAGTTTCAGCCAGTTTTCCTTAACTTAATTTATCCACCTACCATTTGCCTCTGGGCTTTTCCCATTCTCTTACTTCTGTAAATCTTACTCTTACTCTGTGGCTGCCTGTGTAGCTGGGTGGCTGCCCCTGATGTCCTCCTCCTTCTCTGGCTGCTCCTTTTTGTTTGTTTGTTTGTTTTTTGTTTGTTTGTTTTCCTTTTATTTTATTTTACAAT